CCAGACTACTTTGATAATTGTTGAGTAATTATGAGTTACTCAAATTTACTCGGAGCTAAAATATTAGTTTTGAGTACAGCTGGCTTGCCTCTAGGGAAAGCCCTATGGGGTTGTACGCAATGGTGACGTAGGACTACGTGGTTTTATATAATAAATGTTACTTGTTAAATGCAGCAGGAGTTTGTGTTTTGTGTAGGAATATGAACTTGAGCGAGGTTCTCTCTGTTTATTCTCTTTAGTATGACACGCTTGGCATAGATGGCCACAGCGACTCACAAAGAGCTACTGATTCCGATCAATAGCGGTGCAGCTCGCTGTTTGCAGGCAGCCTTTCGTTGTGTGCTGGAGAACAATGTTAAACGCCACGCTCCGAAAGCACTGCTGCTGCTGCTGATGCCGACGACCGGACACCACCACACACAGTGATTGGAACTGAATCCGATCAGTGGTTGAGAGCAACCTTGATAGCTAGCTGCTTGCGGGCAGTTTCTCGTTGTGTACTGGAGAACACCACCACTCACCACGTGGTGATTGAATAAACAACGTTTGGTGAGACCGGATGAAATTGAACTTTGAAATCTGTGTTAGGGAAATTGGCTTTCGCAGGCAATCGGTGATTATTTTAATTATCATAGCAACAGTTGCACATTCGTGCAATTTTCCATAGTGATATTTTGAATATGATGATAAAGTTTTAAATTTAACAGATGCGTAGAAATATTCTGATCGATTGGTGATATAATTATTGAAATTGGTCCAGGGGCAGCTGAGTTATTAACGTTCAAAATCTTTCATAATTTGGTCACATATTCCATTTTCGGTTTTCACAAAGTGTACCGCCCTCTAGAATTCATAGACGTAGTCCTACGTAAAAAAAAATAAATGCATTTTTAGACCTAAAAAAAAAGAAATTTTCTTAGTAGATTTTTTTCCCGATTCGAGAAAACTATTCCATAAGCTCCTCGATCGAGAACGCGGAAAAAAATCCGTCGAAATTCTCGCCTCGATGCATGTATGTATGTATTGGTGTCACCTAAAAAGCGCATGCTTTGTATACTGAATGGTTGATGCTAGAGAGGGTCTAGTATAAGAGAGGACCGGAATGGCTGGATTTGAGCCAAACGAACTGTCAAAGCCAGAGCCAATCGAGCAGCGCCTATATTGATTGCATTGGCAGTGTTGCTAGAAACCATCCAGGCATAGGTTGCCAAGGCAGTTTGTTTTAAATCCACTTAAGACCACCCTCTCTAGTTGATGCAAACGATGGAAATTAAATGCATTTGCTTTAAATTAAATGCATTTGTTAAATACATTAAATACATTTATATTCAATGGGCATTCTAAAAGTGAGACGCCACTCTCTCTGAGTTATTCGCCAAGATCGCCTTAAAAACAAATACAAAGCTTTAGAAAATTCAAAATGACCTAAAAACACCCTATAAGCCCTAATATTAGAAGATGAAACACCACCAATATCTTAGAAGACAACCGGATACCGGATGATCTCGATCTAAGAAAATTCTAAGGGAACTTTTTAAGTGTGAGTCTAGTCACCATGAAATCTCATTTGAAATTGTTCTAACACCCCCACTATTTAACGATATTGTTAAAAACCCGAATTTGGGTACGCGACTGCATATTACAATGAGTAGCTCAATAATTTTTCAACAGATTTTGGATTTTAAAACGGTTTTGGAACTGAGCCAAATCAGTCAACATTTACTTATGACTGACACATAAAAAAAAAGAAAAAGAAAAAAAAAACAAAAAATCAGTCAGACTCGCTTCAATAACATACTAATAGCTTTTCAGAATCAACGATCCGGTCTTCGACAAAGTTGTTGAGCAAAAAGGGGAAAAAACTTCGAAATTTGGCAAGGGGGAAGGATCATGTTTAGTCACTTTAATAGAGTCTGAAGTTAGAAATATGCGATATTTTTTTTTGTCAAAATCAAATTGGAAAAAATCTCAACGAATTTCCGAATCAACAGAAATCTGTATATATTTCAAAAGCTCTGATAAAATGCAGTACATTAAAATATGGAAATAGTTCAATGGATTGAACGTACCCAAAAATTTTGATATGTCAGCAATACCAAAAATTAATTGGACTATTAAAATTTATTTTGCTATCGTTAAAAAAGCGACTTTAGTGACAATTTTGACGAAAAAAGTGACTTTAGTGACTTTCAGCCAAAAATATTGACTTTTATGAGACCAGCTTAAAAAAAATGATCAAGTCACTCAAAAGTGACCATTTTCCAGCCCTGGATAACCGATGGGTTAACTTAAAATCCACGGATACGCAAACGAAGCGTATCCATTGTGAGTGGCCCTTATGGATCGTAACTGATACATTTAGGAACATCTGACAGTTAGACAATGAAGATCTCAAAATACTGTGTGAGTGCGGTAAAATGAGTCTATCAATGCATAAGTGTACTTATGGTGACTCGTTATACTGCACTCATACTGAAGCATTTAGAGATTTCTAAAAAATTAGCTTTACTTTAGGAGAAACGGCCTATTTATAATTATGAATTAGTGGAATATCAGCTTCTTGGGATAGGGAAAAACTTGCTATTTTTCACAAGGACAACAGAAAAAGAAATACAAAAATGATGTATTTCAGGTTTTCATCAAACCACCGTTGCTTGAAGCATTTCTAACAATTCACAAGTATGATCGAAACTCCATTAAAATCGGGTGTATAAAATGTAACACAAAAATCATACATCGCACATCTTCATCTCCAATCATTTTTCAATTCAATTCTTATAAGTACTTGCAAATTCCTAGTTCATTCGTAAATAGCATTCAAACACCCTTCCATAAAAGCTTTTTTCCTTTGTACTCTCCTCGCCAATGTTGTCTCAATTGCTGAAAACGATAGGTTTTGGAAGGCTATTGGTCGAATAACAACGATGCTGCCGGGCTCGGCAATCGTTTGCTCATTTATTACAGTATTAATTGCACTTTCACAGCCGCATTTACGGGGATGATTACCACACATTTAAAAATTAAATCGTCTGTTGTCTGTTGAGAGGCCGGCCCCTGTGAAAGGAAGGAACTCTGCTCCGCGCATAATCTGTGTCTCACAGCTCTGGGAAGGAAGCAGCCACTGATGAGCCAAAATGATCAGACATTTGTTTTCTTCGAACTGGGTGGATGACCTCGAAAATTGGAGTAACTCCTCTGCTGCAGCTGTTTGGTGCGTGGCGGGTAGCTGCTTCCGAGCAATGGAGTTACGCAATAATGGAGCCTTCTCTCGTGCGTGTGTGAGAGCAATTACACTTGCACATTCCTCTATCTCCGAATACGCGAAGAGTAATTTGCACTCTCCGTCGATGGATTGTTTACGGCGTGTGGCATAACAACCTTTTCGAAGAATTTCCAAATTGGTGCATTTCGTGAAAGGTTGAAGGCTCAAGTTCAGGCGGATCGAAGTTGTGCAAAGTGTAATCATTGAGTTGATCAATCAGTCTAATGCAGTGCAGTGGTTTTGGATCGAAATATGACTCGAGGGTCACATTGTTGGTGATTCATGCAGAACTTTTTGTTAGGTCCACTGAGATTGATAAATAGACAATGATGCTGATTCTATTGCTGTACTAGGCAGTTCAAAATCACTTTATAAAGCGAACAATAAGCAGAAAAGATCTTTAAAACAAACCTTTTTAATATAACATTAATCACTATAATAGGATTACACAAGCTAATCTGTAAAACTTTAAACTGCGGCCATTTTCACGTTGAACGTGGGCACTAGACTGGCCCAAATTAATATTGGAGGAATTTGATTCATTCCATTAGGTGAGAAAACCATGCTCTGTAAGTTTCAACTCATTTGTATGTAACACGAGCTGGCGCTTATAGCTCAAAATAAGCTGGCGCTTATAGCAAAGTGAGTGGAATCAACCCTAACTAAAAGCGCCAGCTCATCTTACAACCAAATGAACTGAAACTTTAAGAGAGTGGTTTTCTCACCTAAAGGAACAAATCTAGGGGTTAGCCCGTGGAAAATGAGAACTTTTATTTTTTGGGCCAGTCTAGTGGGACCTCTCATGAACTCGTCTCGTCCAATCGGTAGTCCCTCCCCGCTTGTGCTATGTTTTTACGGTTCGGTTTTCCAAAAAACCGGCCAGTCACTCAATCAGACAACCACATACTAACAGTCAGTCGTCAGTAAGGCCTTTAGCGCGGTATTCAAATCAATCAAGGAATTTGTTGTCTGTTTTAATGAGTTAAGCAAACGGTATTTTCCCTACTTTTATCAAGGCAACTGAGCTGGGGGCGCAAAAGGGGGTGAACAATACTAGATGGCACACATTTCGGAGTAGAGTCCGTTCATTTCGATAAATTATTATGATGTTGCTTTTCAAAGTCCACCAACCACCAAGCCAGTCAGTTCACCGAGTGGGCTGTTATTGGATATAAGGGAAGGTCGCTGAGCGCAGACAAGCCGTTTAGCAGATCCATGTGAAATAATGGTTTGCTATTGTTGTTTTGTCTGCCGATTGGTGTCCCCTTAGGGGAAAATTCGCATTTCTGCTGTTAGCCTGCAGAGACCCAATAAATCCAATCAATAGAGCGACCCCAGTCAGTGGTCGTGCATCGGCAGGTAGCCTACCAGTGTGATGTGTAGAGCAAAACGGTCGTGCTGGGCTAGCAAACTTTAGGTGACTTTAACGTGACGATTGGCAGGAAACCTGTTATCAACCGTTCTGCGCGGAGCTCTTGACTCGTTAAGTTGGGCTGCTTGGCTGTTGTTGGGTGACTTAATGATATGTTGGTTGGTTGGTTAGTTGGCTGGGGCTGGTTTATGTAACGGAAATTGGCTGATGAATTCAGGCTGGTTTTCAAGGTCAGATGGGATTATGAAATGTGTGTCTCAGTTGAGGGACATTTCCTTTCTAATGGCAATGGGTAAACGTTCGTTTGTAGGGAGGATGGTTGGTTTTTTTTTCAATCTTCGATTGACCAGAAACTATAATATTTACCTTATTTGTGGTTGAAACTTGTCAGTCACGATTGAGACATTTTATCTGCAAGTAGAAGAATGTAAAAAAGCCTTTATTATTATTTTTTTATTACAGCGAAGCATGATTTGTTGGCATTGATTTTTCACTGGTATGTTGCTGGTTATTTTTAACCAAAAAGACATTAAGGGTTGAACCAAATTTTACAGAAGTTGACGTAAAATTAATCTTTCGCGTGAAACTGATTGAGGGAATCTGTAGGCAAACACAGATTCAATAATGAAATAATCGGAAGGCTTTTTACATAATTTTATGAAATTTATGTTTGCGAATTTTAAAAATCAAATATAATTTCACTGGGCCTAGTAAATCATCTTGATACGGTTTTGAACGAAAAATTATTTATTTCATTATATAGTCTATTGAAAAAATTAAAAGTTGTGTCCCAAGCACGAACGCATTATTAACTTAGGACTACAAGATTGTTTTTTGCTTAGGAATTTAATTAATAAAAACAAAGTTATTGATTTATATATTGTATTCTTAAATAAACAAACATTCAGTTCTAAGTTTTGAAGTTAGAGGACATTCAATATCCTTAATTGAATTAATTTTTCATATTTCAAAATTCAGTTCCTATTCCCTTCAAAATTAGGTTCCAAACATGTACATGTAACCAGAGTGAAAATTCGCTTTTCAAAATGCATTTATATAACAAACTGGATTAAAATACCTTAAAACGGGGTAACATTGATAGTTTTTTAAAGTATATTCTAATATTTTTTTTTAGACAAGACCTGGGGATCCTAGAGTCAATTCGTTACTAATATGTTTACCAGGAGTTATTGCATTTACACTATTTTTATTGTTTTGTGACCGAACATCAGTTTTGTTTTGTTTTGAAGTTACTTTGATAATCCTCGATGAATGTAGAAAAGCATGCGTAAACCTTAAACAATTTTAATCAAGAAATAAGAAACTTTGAATGAGTATATAATCAAAAACATCATAAGTTATAAAAAACAAGATTGAATTTGTGAAAACTTTATAGTAAATACATTTAATGAGTGATTGTTTGAGTGCCTTATAAATTAGGTGAAAAACAAGAAAACAATGTTCTACATCTATTTGGAAAATATGTAAAACATTCTACAAAAACTTTATACGATATCAAAGGTAATACCAACGGGTGGAAACTAACGATTTCAAATTAGTTCATTACTTGACTAGCCTATTGGTCCCAAGCAAATCGATTAACGTATCCCATTCTAGTCAAAAGTCTAGTACAACACTATGTTTGTTTTGATTCGCTATGAAAAATTGACAGATAAAATGAGAGGTTCGTGGATTTTCCTATGTTTAAACAGGTTTTTTAAACCTGCATGTCAGTATAACAATTGAAATCTTAAAACTAAAATTAAATCCGCTGGAAATTATTAATTATTTTGTTGGACATTTGTGCTAAAGTTTCAACATTCGAAATTCTATGTACTTCGGTAGTACTGTACCAGGGAGGCAACTTCAAAATCATCTTCAGAACTTTGTTCTGAATCCTTTGAAGTGCTTTTTTCCCGATAGTGCAACAACTAGACCATATTGGCACAGTGTAAAGCATGGTCGGTCTAAAAACTTGTTTAAATATTAGAAGTTTATTTGTCAGGCAAAGTTTGGATTTCCTGTTTATAAGAGGATACAAACATTTTATATATTTGTTACATTTGGCTTGAATGCCCTCAATGTGATCTTTAAAAGTTATTTTTTGGTCAAGTATTAATCCAAGATATTTCACTTGGTTTGACCAGGAAATTGGAACTCCGTTCATAGTGACTATGTGACTACTACTAGGTTTCGAAAAGGAAGCTCTAGGCTTTTGTGGAAATATTATAAGTTGAGTTTTGGAAGCGTTGGGAGAAATCTTCCATTTTTGTAAATAAGAAGAGAAAATATCTAAACTTTTCTGCAGTCTGCTGCAAATAACACGAAGACTTCTTCCTTTAGCGGAAATGCCTGTGTCATCAGCGAACAAAGATTTGTGGCAACCCTGAGGCAAATCAGGGAGGTCCGAAGTGAAAATGTTATACAATATAGACCCAAGAATGCTACCCTGAGGAACTCCTGCCCTAACAGGTAGTCGATTAGATTTGGAATTTTGATAATTTACTTGAAGAGTTCTGTCAGTTAAATAATTTTGAACTAATTTCATAATATAAAGTGGAAAATTAAACTTTTTCAATTTAGCAATCAAACCTTCATGCCATGGGGCCTCCCTTAGCTCAGTCAGTAAAGGCGCAGCTAGAAAGCAAGACCATGCTGGAGGTGGCTGGGTTCGATTCCCGGGCCGGTCTAGGAATTTTTCGGGTTGGAAAATGTCTCGACTTCCCTGGGCATAGAAGTATGATTGGACTTGCCACACTATTATACCAGTGCAAAAATGATACAGGCATCGAAAGCTCTCAATTAATAACTGTGGAAGTGCATCTAGAACACTAAGTTGAGAGCACGCAATAAGCTAATATGTGATATGCATTAAGCTTGAAATGCGAAAAAGAAGAAGAAGACCTTCATGCCAAACACTGTCGAATGCTTCTTAAATGTCTAGAAGAGCAACTCTAGTTGAGTGGCCTTCAGATTTGTTTGAACGAATTAAATTGGTAACTCTTAAGAGTTGATGAGTAGTTGAATGCCCATGGCGAAATCCAAACTGCTCATCTGTGAAAATTGAGTTCGTATTGATGTGAAGCATCATTCTATTTAAAATTATCTTTTAAAAAAGTTTACTTATTGAAGAAAGCAAACTTATTGGACGGTAGCTAGAAGCTTCAGCTGGATTTTTATCTGGCTTCAAAATTGGAACAACTTTTGCATTTTTCCATTTATCAGGAAACATCAGTTAAATAATTTTACCAAGAAAGACAAGTTTGGGAGTTTTTTGATGAGGATATAGAAACTTCCATCATCACCTGGAATCATCGAAAATATTTTCCCGAAAGAAAATATTCAGATAATCCCGAGCAACCTGATTCTCAATAGGACTAGTAAGACCCAAATTGAAATTATGGGAACTCTCGAATTGCTTAGCAAGTTTCTGAGCTGTTTTCCAAATTTGTGATCAAAATTTTACCACCTTCTTTAAGCGCTGAAATAGGCTTTTGAGGTTTTTTTTCAAAGTTTTTGTGAGTTTCCAAAAGGGTTTGGAACTCGGGTCTGATTTAGAAGCATTATTTTCAAAAGTTTTGTTCCTCAGGGTAGAGAATCGCTTTTTTATTTGCTTTTGCAAATCCCGCCAGATAATTTTCATGGCAGGATCGCGTGTTCTTTGATATTGTCTCCTACGGACATTTTTAAGACGGATCAAGAGCTGAAGATCGTCGTCTATTATAATTGAATCGAATTTAACCTCGCATTTTGGTACTGAGGCAGCTCTTGCTTCAACTATAGAAGTAGTCAGAGATTCAAGAGCATAATTAATTTCATCGTTGGTTTGCAGAGGGATGTTTGGATCGAAGTTATATTCCATAAATGTTCGATATTGCTCCCAATCAGCTCTATGGTAATTGAAAGTAGAGCTGTTGGGATTACAAATTATTTCTTGGGATATTTTAAAAGTTATTGGAAGGTGATCAGAACCGAAGTCAGCATGGGTAACCAATTGGCTGCAAAGTTGACATGAATCAGTTAAGACTAAATAAATAGTTGAGGGATTTCTTGCTGAAAAAAGCATGTTGGGCTGTTTGGATATTGAATAGTGTAATAACCTGCAGAACAATCATCAAATTGAATATAACCATTGGAATTGCTTTGAGCATTATTCCATGAGCGGTGTTTTGCATTAAAATCACCAATAATGAAGAAATTAGACCTATGACGGGTAAGTTTCTGAAGGTCACCCTTGAGAAAATTCTTTTGCTGGCCTACGCATTGGAATGGCAAACAGGCAGCTATAAACGAAAGTTGTCCAAATTTTGTTTCAACATAAACTCCCAAAGTTTCAAAAACTTTGGTTTCAAATGAAGAAAGAATTTTATGTTTGATTCGTCTATGAACAATGATGGCAACGCCACCACAGGGCCCATCAAGACAATCATTTCTATAAATGAAATAATTTGTGTCCTTCTTAACCTTATGGTCAGGTTTAAGGAACGTTTAAGTTATAACGGCAATATGCACGTTATGATTTAGTTAAATAGCTCGTCTTGATTATCTTTAAGAGATCGAGCATTCCAATTTAAGATATTTAATGCTTTAAAATCCATTACTGAATTTCAAAGTCATGACAATATTGTTTGCAAATTTTACTCCAGTTTGAATAACATCAAACATGGAGTTAGCTTTGAGCATATCAGAAATCATGTCAATTATTGATATCTGTAAAAATTACATTTTAGGGGCAATAATGCTTCCTAAGCCAAAATTGTCAAAATTTTCGTTAAAATTACGTTGGTTAGTATTTTGATTTCTACCCGGTGGAATAGCAGCATAGGTAGCTCCATTAACTCGCTGAACATTGTTAGCAGCGATGAGAGTAGGTAAAGATGAAACATTTGAAGCAGGGGTGATATTTGTACCTACGGATATGCATGTAGAATTGGTTCCTCACTGACCGTTGTTAACAGCAGAGGAATTTGTACCTCGTCGGGAACGGGGAGCATTTCCTATCTGTCCCTTAGAACGAGATTGTAGGATCGCTTGCGAGTCTTACATTCCGAAATATTGGATTTGTGGTTTTCACCACAATTTGAACATTTAAATTTCTTAGGATCCTCCTTCACAGGACAGTCGTCCTTTGCGTGAGAGGATCACCACAATTCATGCATTTAGCTGGCATGTAGCAATTTTTAGTTCCGTGACCCCATCCCTAGCACTGACGGCACTGGGTGAGCTTTTGGAAATTTCCTCCAGTCTTCCTGAAGTGTTCCACTTCACTCGGACATGGAGCATAAGGCTAGCATTTTCTAAGGCCTTAAGGTTGTTTAGTTCACTAGACTTGACGTGAACTAAATAAAAATCATTGGAAATCCCGTTGCGCGAATCGCCAGGACGGGATTTCATTTTCATTTTCATTACTT